GGTGGATTTTCCTGTCTGGGTTTTAATGATGATTCTTTCACTTTAGTGGGCTTTGCTGCAAGACTGGGACCAGGACATACAAGACAACAATAGTCCCAAACTCTTATCCCTGATGGAACAGAAATATCCCCCAAAATCTGAACTCTCTCTAGGATCTGCCTCCCATGATTTCTCTAAATACTTTTGAAAGCCATCACATATTCTTCCTGAATCAACTCTCACTTCCAGAGATAACTGGGTTACATYAGTATATTGGTGTGGAATATTGTTCTAAGTTTATTAGGACAATATTATTTTTTAATTACCTCTTTTTATTTTAAGGTACTAAGTCCTTGAAGGAATTGTTTAATGAAGCCAGTCTTTATCAAATCAACATGTTTCAGAGTTTGTAGGCATAGAATATATCTTTTTTTCAGTCTTTATATTCCTAAAATTAGAAGCAACTGTCCTCTCATAGAAATCAGTGCTCCTCCTCCATCCTTCAAAATACACATGCTGATGCCCTCCAACCTTGTTTAATTTATGCATCATGATATTTGAGAGAATGTCTGATATATAGACCACATTTTAAGCGCCACAAAAGAGATGGCATCTGTTATAACTCTTCAATGTCATTATAGGAGTTGAAAAGATATTTGTCAGASGATTGATCAAAACAAAACAAAAAGTCACTAAATGTGAAAAGAAAGGGAGGAAAATTGTCCAGCTTGGAAAGATGGCAGCGTTATGCATATTTTGTGTCTGTCAGAAATCCTCATGGGGGCGCTGGGGTTGTGGCTCAGCAGTAGAGCACTCTCGAGCATGTGCGAGGCCCTGGGTTCTATACTGAGCTTCACATGAAAATGAATAAATAAATAAAATTGAAAAAGAAATCCTCATGAGGTCTCTGCACAGAACAAGGGAGAAGGATGCAGGGATGGATSGGAATTTAGTAATACATCTAGATGSCATGACAGTTGTTTGAAAAGTAATTGGGAATATCATTTTCTTTTTTCTTTAGCAAGAAATATTAATGTAAATTAAAAAACACATTAAAAACTGACTTTTTTACAAATTGATAATCAAAATAATCACTTTTTTACAAAAGCAATTTTMATTTATCTGTAGGCTTTGTTTCTCTGACTACATTTCTGGGAAACTTAGGACTTTCTACTCTTTCACAGGTCAGTATTCTTTCCCTATGACTTCAAGGCAATCCAAATCCCTTTCCCTCCATAAATTTCTTTATTCCTTTTCCCAGGTAAATTCTAYTTTAAGATAACCTTTGTCTTTGATTACATGTCCCATTTTTTTTTTCATTTAACATTTAGTAGTTTTACACTTACAACTTAAATGTTGAGAGTGTATATATATAATTGTCATACTGTAAATTCAACATAAAAGACACACATTCTTACATAATGTTATAGAGTGTATGCCCATAGATTCAAAGTTGAAAGCATGCATGGGAAGAATAGTGCCACCTATWAGACAATGTTGAGCTCTGGCAGCAATTTCTTATCCTCTCTAAATAYGCCCTACTGTGAAAGTCAGTGTGCTAAAAARTTTGGTATTATATAAAAGTTACAAAAGTGTTTGCTAAACAGTGTAGGTCCTAGGCTTTAACTTCAAAAACTCTGATGCAATAGGTCCAAGTTAGGGTGGATAAGCATGCATATCAAACTCCAGTTAACACAGCTGCATATAGATTAACCAACCACCCTACATCATAAATTCTGAATGTATATAGAATTGGCAGGTAGATAGAGGAGCCTGAGGTTAGATCATGAGGTCAGTACTGGGACCCAATTTGCAGTCATTAATTTGTAGGTGGAATTAAAAATCTTGTAATGGATGGGAATATACAAGGGAGGGTGTAGAGGTTGAAGAGTGGGTGGGGGACACAGAGGGAAAATCAAAGTGCAACAGAGAGAAAGGAGGAGTCTACCRAGGACAGAACGCTTGGCTGGAAGGATCATGGAGAACAGAGGGCACTGTGTCATGGAAACTAAGGTGTTGTAAAGAAGGGTTGCTCATCAGAATCAAATGAAACAAAATGGCTAGCAGAGAGAAGGCCAGGAAAAATGATCCTTGTTCATATAGTCTATCACCATCAACATAATGATTTCTGGAAGGCAGGGCTGTTTGTCATTATATTCTCAGGAGCTGACATATTGTATACACTTAATAAATGTTTGGTGAATGAAATTAAATTGGCGAGGGCACGGGCCATATAARAAATTTAAAGCTCTCAGCTACAACTTGGTTTCATCAAAAACCCTCATTAGGATGAGAAAATGTTATATGGATATAACCACCCATAATGGAGAATTATTGAAACTAGGTCAATAAACCAGTTATTTTGAGCCATCTGCCAAGRTGTGGTAATGACCTTTAAAAAAAAAATGCCTAACCTCTTTGCATGTATGACAGTATTCTGGAGAGAAAAATTATACCAGTAATTTAAGTAAATTAAATTCTTTAAAACCTTTATATTTAGATTCTGGGTATTATTGTCCACCCTCCTCCAAATAAATGATCTCTCCTGATTATCTATAGATGCATGTGTAATCATGAGGCGAGCAAACCACACTGAAGGAGGTAAATGACTCTCCAAGAATGCACACGTGTTGGTTGCTATGACAACTGCTGGGTTTTTATTGAATAGAGAGAAAAAAAATCACTTAGAAACCATTGGCAGAACTTGCACAGAAAGATAAAACATTTCAAAACAATTCTACCCCACATTCCAGTAACTTTGCCCATGTCTATGCAGTGAATGGAGAGGGTGTGTATGTGTGTCAGATGGTGGAGTTCTAGGGAAAGTCAGGATTCTGATGCATTTCCACTAATCTAATACCCCTTCAATGACCTGATCTCAGCACCTGAGTACTGTGTTATCATGGAAAAAGTTTAGCTGTTACCTCACTCTTGTGTGGCAATGACATGGAGCAATGTTTGAATTTTCTTGGAACCAAGCAGTTTCAGGCTTATTTATAGAGACAGATTCTATCTATATAGCAGTTTTTTCTCTGCATGGCATATACTTGGGTAGTCAAGAAAACACAAGGAGGGAAGACATAGTCTGAGGAAGTCACTCTGCTAATGCTCTCCTAGTTTTCCTTGTTCCTTTTTCTTATGAGTCTTCTATTCTCTATTCTTATCTTCCTGAGAAACTAAGAAAGGCTGCCAAGCTTTCAGACTCTTCCTAAAATATTGATAAATTRATAGAATGGGTAAATCCAGACATCATCTGTGGGACTTTTCATGAGTGGCTCTAAGAATGTTTGGTGGAGAATTCTCTCGTGGTCATGGGAAATATTGTCCACCCATTTAATGAAACGAGCCCATTGATCTCATGAGGAAATGGCCAAACTCTCAGAGTGAACTGGGCTTAGCTCCATTATGAGACTACCAAGGGATAGACTGATCCATTCAGAGGGTCTCTGCTTCACCTGTCTGTGCTACAAGCAAAGCAGACTAATTCAGAACACCCATTTTATGGCACTGTTTTTCATATGGTAGGTTGAGACTCACTAGTGGGATCYGCTTAGGCGTTGAGACCATCATTACACAACAGAAAAAGAAAGACAGTAAAGTGAATCTCTTCTAGTGAAGGTAAATGTATTTTGTGAGAACTTGTTTCTTCCTCACTCCCTGCTCCCCCATATATAGGCACTAGATCAGCATATTGAATATATTTCTTACTGCAGGTCCTGGACAAAAAGGTTGGAAAGTTTGACTCTTCTCTGATAAGAATCCCTTATCATTCTCTGTGTTCTACAGAAAAATTAGTTAAACAAACAAACAAAAAAATCCCAGCTCTGAACTCGAGGGCTGGAATCCTTCTCCAAACTCACAACTTCTGCAGTCTTACACCAGATTTTCTAACCTTTGTACTCACTGCAATCTTACACCAGGTTTTCTAACCTTTGTACTTACTGTCCTTTCAACTTAGCTCTTCTTAATGTCTGCCTACCACAGTGCCCTTCACCCAGAATGCATCTTCTCCCCTTGGTAGTTTCTAAATGCTGGTCTCCATACCTCGCCATTTAGTCTGTATGATCTCCATCTTGTCTCCTTACTTGTCTTCCTAAGGGCGCTGCCATCTCCACCTACTATCCCAGCAGGTGTCTGCTCCTCGTTTGTCCCTATGTCTGTCTCCCTATTTCTGGACATTTCTTTGGGCATCTGCCTTCCAGCTCATCAAGACCTCATTGACCTGTTGTTGTTGTCTTGTTATTTCTTGTTGTCTCTAGTCTCCCCCCTTGCTTAGCAGCAACTTGAGCTGAKGGTATCTATAAGGACTGTGGATCATGTTTGTTTGTATCCCCCATGATGTCTGGCACAAAGGAAGACATAAAATAATATTTTAAAAAGCCTTGATTTAACCAGTCATTAGTCCTTCCTTTACCCAGAAACTCTACCCTCCTCACTCTGGTTTCTGTTACGATTTTGTGTTTGAAGTGGCCTTGTTATTTCTAAAGTACGCACGTATCATTTTGGCTGATGGTATCTATAAGGGCTTGGATAAGTAGGCACAGGTTATGAAACTCATTCTTGAGAGATGAGAAACTTGAGTCTAAAAATGGTTTGTAATAGTAACATGAGTTATCAATGATGTCCACAGAACTAGAATCAAGGATGTGATGTGTTTGGTGGCATTACCATATGCCAATTATGAGAAMAACAATTACACAATAACATGCTTACTCRGTGCAAAATGATGTGTATGGAAATAGTGGGAAAGTCATAATCCATGTTTCTCACAGAATAAGAGTGAGAAACCTTGCACTAAAACTAAAATCTTGTTATCAGCTTTGCTTCTGTAGTTGTGCTTGAATTCCATCGATATTGCAGCAAGTAAGAAAGGCACAAACCACCTACAGAGGCGTGAGCTGCTTTCCAGTTTGTTGACAAACTTTCGGTTAATGTCACTCTGATGATTACCTGAAACTTTGTAGAGTGTTACAAATAATTACCAAGTTCTCTTCTTGTTAATTTACTAATTTGTTTCTTACCAAGCTGTTCTCCTAAATGTTGGCCTCTCTCGGTTGAAATGACCCGCTCATCTTCCATGTCACATTTGTTCCCAACCAGGATAACCTGGGCATTGTCCCAAGAGTATGTTTTGATCTGAGTTGACCTGAAAAAAAAAATAACAAGCACAAAATGATCAGAAGAAAGGAGAACAACATAAAATGAAGGGGGAAAGATCTATACCAAGATGATAATAGCAAAAAATGAAACTCAAATGCCTGACATTTAGAATTAATGAGTTCAGTACAATTTCATCCTTAATATTCCCACTAGGGATTGCTAGAGTCAAAACTCAAGGCAACAGGCTGATGTAATTGCTCATGTTAGAGTACATGCTCAGCATGAGCAAGGCCCTGAGGTCAATCCCCAGTACCATAAAACAAATCAAAATAATACTGTTATTATRCCAAGAATTATTTTGTGTTGATGAAATTAGTACTAATATGTGTCTCCCTTCCTCTGTTTTGTCACTGCTTTATGTAATGCCCTTATATCAAGGGCGTCTAACCACCATGGATGCAAATGATGTGCCCAATTTTAGTACTAACATATCTCAAGAAACCCCTCAATTCCAGGCAAATTGAGATAGTCACTCTTCGTATTTACAGCCCCTCATACAGAAGCATCATTTTCCCTACTTACCATAACAACTTAAAGAACTAAGGCAATCGAGGCTTAGGAAATCCAGCATAATAATTTTTAAAAAAGGGAGAAAGAAATMATAAGAACTGATCAATACTCAGGCCTTTCATTTGTAAGAGAAAAATGCTAGTTAATATTAAAATAACAGCTGGACGTGGTGGCGCACATCTGTAATCCCACTGACTCGGGAGGCTGAGACAGGAGGATCCTGAGTTCAAAGCCAGCCTCAGCAACAATGAGGTGCAAAGCAACTCAGTGAGTGYTTGTCTCTAAATAAAATACAAAATGGGGCTTGGGATGTCAAGTTCCCCTGAGTTCAATACCCAGTACTCCCCCGCCTCCCCCCCCCCAAATGCAATGTTTATTCTGAGACTCAGAATAAGCCTCTCATATAGATCATGATACAGGGGATCTAAAGATGGCGGGCCAGATGGAGGCAGCATTCTGTGTAACTCCATGTCTTGGGTCTCAACTAGTGAGAATACTGCTTTGCTGAGAGTGACAGCTGATCCATAGCTGATCCCTTACAGGAATCATGGTTGCTGTGCCATGTAGGCCCCAGATCTCAGCATTAAAAAAGGACTCCCAACTACTCACCCATGTAGGTCTGGCGGGTGCCTTAGAGGGACCACTGGCATCAGCACAGGTGAAGAACTCCCAGACACCGCTCCCACGAAGGACACTCAGCCACTACCCACTGGCAGGAAATCTGGCTGCCAGTCCCTATGGACCYCCATCTACTAATGTGGGGCTCCCCAGTCACCTCCATCTTGGGACTGGGCAGCTACTGCCATAGTCCCCTACTCACAGTAGCCTGCCTACACCTGGGGACACATCACAGGCTCTGAAGAAAGCCAACAGCCGCAACACTGCACACCACAGAGCTCATCTCTGAACGCATCACACAATGCCATTGCCCGACTCCCCTACCGGAACCGACACCCCATCACTGAAAGTAGCAGCCTACATCCTGGGTCACTTCCATCACAGTCTTTAGTTGGGGTGACTAACAGTTTGGAATACTGTAATCCACTATACYAGGTACCCATAGTTTTCTAATTCCCACCGGACCCCAGCAGTCACTAACTCAGCAGAGTGACTGCCCAATTCAAAACAACCCTCCAAAGATACGCAGCCACCAGAATGGAACACATGAGACCCCCAAGAGAAAGGTTCCTATTAGGAAGTAGAAAGGGAGAGGGTGTGGGAGATACACTTTAGAGACTAATTTAGAGGGCAAGACTGTGAGGTCTACAGGTGAATGGGGAGATGAGACATAGCACCCACCTCACAGGAGCAGACCCCCAAAATAGATCGTTGAGGTGCAGTMTCCCAAACGGGACCAGTGAGTGCCAAACCCTACTTCCAGGTGCCTTGTACCCAAGACCAACCCTCAAAACCTGGTAACCCCTACCATCCTGAGGGCGGAGATACCAACTAAGAACAGACAACCTCAGCTACTGGATGAGAAAGGAAGCAGGAAAGATACTGATCTCCAACCMAAACAATTCTTGTTCTTTCTTCTCCCTCTTTATTCTCTTGCACCAAAAACATATGTTAGAGAAAAGATAGTCTCTTCAACAAACAGTGCTGGGAAAACTGGAAATCCATATAGTGGGGCTGGGAGGGGGAGCATTGGAGAATTGGACAAACTCTGGATAGGAGGGAAAGGGAGGGGGTAAGGGGGTAAAAAAGATGGTGGAATGAGATGGGATATCATTACCTTAAGTACATGTATTAAAACACGAATGGTGTGAAAGTACTTTATATACAACCAGAGATATGAAAAAATTACCATTCTGACTGGAATGAGATGAAATCTTAGAGTAGTTTTGATTTGCATTTCTCTAATTGCTAGAGATGTTGAACATTTTTTTCATATATTTGATTAATTGTATATCATCTTCTGAGAGGTGTCTGTTCAGTTCCTTGGCCCATTTATTGATTGGGCTATTTGTTTTTTGATGTTCAGATTTTTGAGTTTTTTATAATATGAATTTTTTGATTTTTTTGTAATACGAACTGTAATACATTTTGCCTTTATATATAACAGATTAGAATAATTTTTTTAAAAAAAATTTTAAAAATAGATCACAACACTAAAATAATTCTCATTTTGAAATTTAGGTAATGATTATAGTTGTTTTCATTTGTAGGTGTTGTAAATATATGATATATATATATAGCACATTAATTTAATCTGTAGAATAACCCAAGTGGGATGCTATCCCTATTTCACAGGTGAGGAAAGTGTGGCAGAGAGGGGTTAAATCATTTTCCCAAGACCCCACAGCTAGTGCAGTGGCAGACATGGGAATCACACCAGGTGTGGGTCTTACATCTGTGTTTTTAAACACATTCCATACTATTCATTAGAAGTTTGAAAAGTGAAGTTCTGGTGCCTTTTTTGTTATCCATAGAAGAAGCTGAGAGGAAGCCTTGCTTTAATCCTTCCTTTCTGTTATCTGAGAACAGTAGGTGGTAAATGGACATAGGTGGGTGAGACACATTGTCCAGCAGGTGGCCAGGAAGGAGATTCTGGAATGTTGAAAAGCTAAATAAATGACTAAAGTTTGGGAATCAACTTAACAAAAGAGGTGAAAGAACTCTACAATGAAAACTACAGAACTCTAAAGAAAGAAATTGAAGAGGACCTTAGAAGATGGAAAGATTTCCCATGCTCTTKATAGGCAAAATTAATATTGTCAAAATGGCCATACTACCCAAAGCGCTATTCAGTTCAATTTGATTACAATTAAAATACAAAATGTCATTCCTTATAGAAATAGAAAAAGCAATCATTAAATTCATTTGGGAAATAAAAGACCCAGAATAGCCAAAGCAATCCTTAGCAAGAAGAGTGAAGCAGGAGGCATCACAATATCAGACCTTCAACTATACTACAAAGCTGTAGTAACAAAAACAGCATGGTGTTGGCACCAAAACAGATATGTAGAGCAATGGTACAGAATAGAAGACASAGAGAAAAACCMACATAAATACAGTTATCTCATACTAGACAAAGGTGCCAAAAAACTTACATAAGAGAAAATATACCCTCTTCAACAAAGGATGCTTGGAAAACTGGAAGTCTATATGCAGCAAATGAAAACAAATCCCTATCTCTCACCATGAAGGAATTGACTTTTAAAGTATCAAAAACAACAGCCTGGGAATTGTCTTATAAAATTTTTTAAGTCTTTCAGGATAGAAATAGAAGAGAGTACTAAGCTGTTTTCAAACTGAAGAGAGAATAAAAAATGAGATAAATGGCTTTGGGGCTGGGGTTGTGGCACAGTGGTACAGTGCTTGCCTCACATGCATGGAGCACTGGGTTTGATCCTCAGCACTACATAAATAAATAAAATAAAGGTGCTGTGTCCATCTACAACTAAAAAAAAAAAAAAAAGCACATGGCTTTGAATTGCAGCTGGAAAACTTTCAAGGAGATATGATCATGGCTTCTCCCTCCAGAAAGAGCTAAGAGGCAGAGGGGGTTTTATTTAGAGTACCCCTGAAACAAGCACAAGTTTTCAAATGAGATTAATAGTCATTTGATATCCACCTGGATATATCAGAGGCAAAGCATATTTTATCATAGAAGTTATGACCTTTCTAATTCCCCCTTTTTACTGGTTCTTTTTGGTTACACGTAACAGTATAATTCATTTTAATATAACTGTACAAGCAAGGAATATCTTATTCTAGTTAAGACCCCATTCTTATGGACATACCCAATGCTGAGATTCACTATTCACTATTCACTATTCATTTAAGTACATAGGAAAATTGTTTCAGATTCATTCCACTGTCTTTCCTTTTCCTATTCCCACTCCCTTCCCTGTCTAATCAACTGAATATCTATTCTTCTCCTCTCCTCACTTATTGTGAGTTAGCTTTCACTTATCAGTGAAAATATTTGACCTTTAGTTTTTTGGGACTACTTATTTCACTTAGCATGATAGTCTCCATGACCTTTCTAATTCTGGTACCTAAGTTAATGGCTTATTCTTTTAACAACAGTTCGATTTGGCCTGTGACCATCAACTAGGGAAATGAAGACAAAAATTCTAAACTCTGCTTTTCCCTCACCACATCTTATGGAGTATATGAAAATAATGAATTCATAGTGAATTAAAATATAAAAGTATCTTACACCTGGAGGGTATAAATCTCATTTGACATATATTTTATAAAAAGTGTCMAAAGCTTCTTTTGGAGGATATGAAATCTAATTAGATTTTCTTAGGTAATTTTGAAAAATTATTTTTTTTGCTTCTTTAGCTCTTGCAAACTAAGAGCTAGCCAATACTTAGAAAGTATTATCCATTTTTACATATGCAACATTCCCTATTCCTTAACAATTAATAAAAATATGAAAAAAAGAACATRCTTCTTCAGCCATGAGGTTACTTAGAAAAGTCCTAGGTAGAGAGTTCTTGTGTTAATGGAGAAAGTTCTAAC